GAATCTTCATGCATTTGGTTTCAGTAGATGAACCCAAGTTCTAACATGGGGAGAAAAGGAGAAAAACATCTAGATTTCCAGTTTCTCTAGCATGTGTGGTATTTACTGTATATATACCTCTCTCCAGTCTCTTCTCTTCTCCAAGCTAAAAACCCTAACTGCCATAGACATTCCTAATGCTAAAGTTTTGGCTTGCACGTTGCCTTCTGAACAAAGTCCCTCCCACTTGTACATCTAACATATAGAAGGGGAAATTGAGGCAGGACTTGTTAGTCCATCCTGGTACCACCTCCCAGCCCTATCCACTCCCTCCTCTAGATACCGATATGGCAGCTACAATGGAAATCTTCACAAGGTCTATGTGTAGGTGGCTGATGTAAGGACAGTCTAGAAAATGCAGAAATTTATGCATATACTTCAGAAATGGTGCTGTTGGCAGAAGGTGTGCAGAGTGTTAGGGGAGGGGCAAGTAGGCAGGGTCCCTTTCCTTTTCCACAGGGAAGTTACTTTTTGAAAAATGGTGGTAGAACCCTAGGATTACCTTTAAGGATGCCATGTTCTTAGTGCTTCGATACAGAAGGAATGAGAAAGGCTTAATTTGGGAAGAAACAAGGGAAGAGACCTTATTGGTTTTACTTGGTTTTAAAGCTTATTGGCTTTACTTATTGGCTTTAATCAGTCTCAGAAAGCCATTTTTTATAAACCAAAACCAAAACCAAAACCCCAACCCCACCATACCAAACCATAAAAAAGCTTGTTTTTTGTACCCTGAGCCTAACTGTCATATTTAAATATTTCTATGTTCCCATCAATGAAGATGCACATATTTAAATGCTTCTCTCCAAAGGCATCCTGCTCCATTTCCTGCTACTCCCCTTTTACCCAGTTGAAAGGAAAGCTTTCAACACTGGCTGCACCTCAACTACCAAGGATCCTGGTGAAAATATCTTCCCAGGTTGCCCAACTCCATAATATGCACATCTGGCCTTAATGATGTATCCCAAAACTTCTTTTACTTGCAAGCTGGAACTTTGCCATTATGAGTGTTTATGGAATAGAGCACTAGCCTTTTGGGTCACTCACTTTATTAGTCCTGTCCATCATCTACCCTATGTGAGTGCGCACATGAGTGTGATTGAACAATTTGCTTCTCTTTCCAGATTACGAAGCCATTCAACCAGTATCTTCGACATCTGTGATTTCTACTACTGTATGCTAATTTGGCAGCAGGATTTAACCCATCTACTTCTGGTTTTACCTACTTTCATTGATGCCACAAGTAAAATGAAGTCTTTTAGAAGCCTCTGCTCTGTATTTTACTTGGCCCTTGATCTCTGTAGATGAATCACTTCAGCATGAATGACATTTTGTCTCCTGGCTTTTAGTTATGTGAAGAATAATGTTTAAATGAGATTGAATGCTGCTTTGTCTGAGCATGGGGATCTGAGTTAGACCAAGACTTTGGTTAATCCATATTCTGGCTTCACTCATAAAATAGACATAGCTCCTAAAATTAAAGTCTTAATATTTCATATTTCAATTCTGATGTGATTATATGGCTGTGCGTCTTCCATGCATCTGTTTCATCCCTTAATGATGCATAGTTTTTTTTTTAAATCTAGCACATTGTTAGTTATCCATTTATTTTAAAAACATAACAAGTTTCTAATCCTTTGATTGTACAGAAGAGTTTAAGAATGGGGAGTTTGGTCCCTCATGATATGTCAGCAGCTTGATTAGCCTGTAGAGTTAGTGGCAGAAAGAAGTAAATACAGTATTTCTTCCCTTCCCTCCCCAGATGAGTGATAATGACTTATAATTTCTGGTTAATGCTCACTGGAGTAAACTGATAGAGGCAAAGAAGCTTAGTTGGGAACCTATCTGAAATATTTTAGGGTTACTTGGAAAAACATGGCCCATGTAACCAAGAAGTCATGATTATCAAGAACTTATAACTCAATACTTTGGACATCTGCATTTAAGCATACTGTCTCACTTAACATTGGCCATTTACACTGTAGTTTCTTATTTTGATGCAACTATAAGTAATAGCAACAGATATACTACCAACTAAACAACTGAGTTAAAAAAAATTGTATGTTACAATAACCTAATTTGATAATTTAATGATTGATGGCTGCAATAATTGAATTTTTAAACTTGCTGAGAAAGTATTATTACTTAGGATATCAGACTTAGTGGGAATGAACTCCCCTGCCCCATTCCAATTTAAAGATGAAGAAACTAATTGTGTCAATAGAAGAGAATATGTGTAGCTCAGGTTGAACTGTAGAGTCCTTAGGGTCCTCATTCCATTCTAGCACTGAAGAGGTTACCTAGCTGGGTAACAAAACGTTTGCAAGAAAACAACCAAGCTCAGAGAATCCCAAGGACTCCACTAACTAACCTAAACTATCTACAGTAACTAAAGGCTGCAAACTTACAAAAGGGATTAGTTTCATAAACTGTGAACCAAGGATAAAGATCAAAATCAAATATGTTGAGGTAAAAAGTGGAGTATAATCTTTTTAGTATCTAATCCAATTTTTTAATCAAACAAATCAATTTAGCCATTTCAGCAAGTTCTGTCATCTTCACCAACCATTCCTCTGCTGTAGGTATTGCCAAATCTTTCATACAATAATCTTGCTACAGTTATTCCATATAAAAACAGTGTTCTAGTGTTCCAAGATAAGCAGTTATCATATATAAAAACAGTTTTCCAATGGCTCTTTTCTAAGGATTTATCCATCAGTCCCAGGAGGAAAAGTTCTGGTTTCAATTGAATGTTAATATTTAAAATCCTCTTATTCACTCTATGTATTTGAGTCCAAAGTCATGGAGAAAATCTATGTGGCTGCTAGGAGTTGAAAATGACCTGATGGCACATAACAAATCAATCAGTGATTGACTTTACTTGAATTACTAGAAAATAGCCAGCCTTTGTAAGAGAACTGGGAAGAAAAGGCTGGGCATGCTGATTGACAGAGGTAGAAAGACAAAGCTCAGTCAGTTGCAATGTGTTATTCTTTGTGTGTGTGCAGTCTCTGGCATTTGTCTAATTTCAGCCTGACCTTTTAGAGAGCTTAATACAGAGGTCATAATACAGAGGTCATAGGATCGGGTTTGATCAGAAAGTGGTTTCCTATATATACAACTTCTCAAGTGCTGTTTAGGCAATCATTCAGATTAAAAGAAAGAAAAGGGCAGGGATTATCAAGTCCACTGGCCTTACCGCCACACCGTCCCTAGTACTGTGGGCAGCCTTCATGGGTACAGCTGAACACAGACAGGCTCCCACCTGAATTATTTGTACCTGCCATCGTGGACTCACATAGAGAAGGCAAGACAATTATTTTGCCATGGAAAACAAACATCACCGCTTTTGTGAGACATTTACAAAGATGGGGAAGTTGAGTTCATGTGAATCTTTGCAAACAGTCTGAAGAAACAGACCCCTTCTTGCTCTTGACTGCAAAGATGACTCAAATTTCATTTCCTCTTCCCCCTTCCCCCCATAACAGTAGTCACAAATCTTTTCAAGCCTTTTTAAAATGTACACACCTTTTTAAATACCTGTAATTTCTTTAAAAAAAAAAAAGCAATGAACGTCTTCCATAATGCTTTCTGTTTCCTGCCACACTGACTTCCAGATTTTAATGTATCAGTCCTTGGGGATAATTGAAAAGAGTATACAGATACCGAGGCAGGCAGTAGCAATTTTTAAAATAGTATTCAATCCCCAAGAATGAATTGTACAACACTAACATTTTGGTACCTGCAAAAGTCAGACTTGTTTCTCCTATCCCACCTATATTCCAAAGAAAAAATTGTAGTAACTACTAGTTGTAAACACAGTTGTAAACTTTCAAATAAGAGAACAGTGCAACAGTTACTGAGCACTCGATAAGGCCATGACATGCATATGTTTTGTGTGAAGCTGAGCATATAGCTGTGAGAGTCCACATGAAATAAACGAGAAGCCCTAAGATCTGGATGTTTGCCATCTTCTCCTCTCTCACTTTTCAGTGTTTGTTCTGAAGACTTTTCCTTTATGTTTCCAAATGCTCCTAATGTTTAATGACATGTAGCCTCATGGGCTGAACAATGATTACTGCTTTTCAGTGGCCACATTTCAACTGGTGTAATGGTTGAAGTGCTGGCCTAGAAACCAGGAGACTGTGAGTTCTAGTCCTCCCTTGGGCATGAAAGCCAGGTAGGTGACTTTGGGGCAGTCACTCTCTGTCAGCCCACCCACATCACAGGGAGGTTGTTATGTGGAAAACAAGAGGTGGGAGCATTAGGTTTGCAATTAGGTTGCCATGTGGAATTGAGCAAAGTCAAAGTGGAATAAAACACATTTGCAATTTTCTTGGCAACACTACATTGCAAGCCATTGCATGTCATTGACTTCCATGGGTGTGTGCATGTTACTTCACAGTCCAAACTACGGCCTTCTGATTTCCTGATGGTCTCTCACCCAAATATCAACCAGACCTGACTCTGATTAGCTTGTAGACAAGGTTGGCCAAATAATTGGCACTGCTGAGGTACTGCTATCTTAATTGTGCTTTGATATTTTTACATTTTGATTGTATTGCTGTTTTTTTCCCCTAAAAAAAATTAAATATTTCTCAGAAAAGTGAGATTCCTATCAATCATCCTTATCCTTATGGCCACCATTTAGTCTGAGTTTTAAAAAGTCCAAACACTCTACTAATTCAGAGTAAACTGAGCACAAGTTACCTTTTGAAATTCTCCATCAAATTTGTGGGCAATAAACTTGGATAAATTTTAAAGAAAGAAAGATGGATGGAATTAGGGAGAGAATGGGAGCAATGCAATGCTTACAATAGGCACACATGTATATGCAAAGGTTACCAGAGTTCCTTTCAGACGTTCCAGAAGCGATTGGCAAATGGCAGGCATGTGCGTACCTGCTCCTCCCTTTCCTATAACGTCTGGAAGAATCTCACTAGTTTGCAGAGGCAAGTATCCCTCAGGGAGGTTCAGCACCGCTCCCCGCCGCGGGTGCCATAATCTGCTGACTCGGCGGAATCGTTTCGCCTCGTTTGGTTGTTTTCCTTCTGCATTTTATTTTCGTTCCACGAAAAATTTACGCACCCCCCTGGACCGTGTGAACGGTCCCGCGCCGAGGCAGGCTCTCTGGGTGGGCCCATCCTGAGTCACCCTCGAGCGCTCTTCCTTGCCGTGGCAGCCGCGCCACTTCGGGGAGGCATAAAAAGCCTGCGGCGGGGGCTGAGGCGGCACCCCCGAGCGCCCTCCAGCCCCCGAGCGCAAGATGGGCCGCCAACTGCTCTGCGCGTCCTTTCTGCTTCTTTCCCTCCTCGTCGTTCTGGTGTCCTCGGCCGAGAACGCCTCGCCCACCCGGGGTAAGGTGGCTCCACCTTCGCGGTGGGCGAGCGAGCGAGCGGCGGGGAAGCGGAGGCGCGAGACCCGCTTTCGCTGGAACAGCGGCGGCCCCTTTCCCGCGTTTCTTTGCGCCGAGCGTAGGAAAGGCTTAGGGGTTGCCTAGCCGAGGAAAGAAACGCAATGAAACGATGAGCGGATGCTCCACCGACCGAGGCCGCTGACCTGTGTGAGCCTGCTGAGGGAGAAAAGCTTTTAAAAGGAAAAACTAGTCGAGCAGAATATCTTTTTTTTAAAATCAATAACAACAAAAAACATTGAATAGCTTCATTTTGTAATAATAATGCAATTAGACATAATGAGAAGAGTAAGAAAACCATGATGTAACGTTAGAGATTTCTCTGACTTTTTTCTTTCTTTCTTATTTACTTATCACTTTTCTTTTACTTTTCTTTCCTTTTTCTTTAAATTTTGTAATGTTTTTACTTTGCAAAAAACTTATTTAATATTTTTTTTTTAAAAAAAAGAAGAGCAAGAAGTTGAAAGGCAATGAGGTCATTTTAGATCTTGAAGTTACTGCTTCTTTTTTCACTGCATTTCTGTCCTGCCTGGATTGTCAGAACAGGTGGGAACTGCTAACCAACCATGGCTGAACTTGTAAAACCTAACCAGGGATGGCCTGGTTAGTACTTGGATCTGAAGCCCTCAGAAAATCCCAGGGCTATAAAACAAGACCCCTGAACAACACAAGGGTGAGCCATTTCCGTATCCTGTCAAGAAAGCCACTTGGAGGTGTCCACAGAGTCTGGGGAACTGGAGCTCAGCTTGAGGGAAGATTTTGTGGGCCTCCTCTCTTAGTGGCAGGGTGCCACATCCTTTGAATAGTGATTGACCCTTGGTATGGCCTAAGGGCTAATCAATAAACTTTGATTGATTGATTGACCCACTCTGTTGCATTTTGAAGGTCCTCCTCCTCACTGGAGGGCCCAGCCACCGCCTGCGTCTAACCCACATAGGCGGTCCCCGGGCTTAATGTGGTTGTGGCAATGGTTGTGGAGCTAGTTTGGATATATGTCTAGCATGTAAATCTATCCTGGTTTCTTTGTCTTCATAGTTGCCTCTGTGCCTGAGGAGCAAAGGTGTCAGTGTATCAGTGTGACCTCTGTGTTTATCCCATTTAAGACTATTTCTTCTGTACATTTAATTTCTCCCAGACCAGGTTGCAGTCGTCTTCAAGTCATGTAAGTGTCCTCCAACCTATTTCCCCTTCTTAAAAAGAGTGATGGTTTTATGAAAGTGGTTCACTCATCCAGCAATTTTCTGTGCCTTATCTGTCAGAGCCACCTTGAAGAATGGGAGGTCGGTCTGCCTGGATTCAGAAGCCAGATGGGTCAAGGTCATTATCCGTGTCATGATGAGCAAGGTATCTATCTTGAGCATTCAGGGGAAGTGAATGGACCTAAAGAACACTTCTAAAATAAAACGAGTGCTACTAGTTTTAATTGAAAACTGATACTTTACCTTCCAAATAAGGCTGAAAAATGCCCTTACAGCACTATGTGCTAGGGTGGCCTGAGGCACCAACTGAATTTGCTGTCAGAAATAGGGAGAAGTGGTCACAATAGTTTCCCTGATTTTGATTAAATCCAGGCCTACTGTACTTAGTTTTAGCTACTGAATTCTGTATTTTCTTTTATCCTGACTCTTGAGCCTTAATTTTTCTTAACTCATAAATCAATATTACCAGATCAAAGCAGATATATTTATAGTGAGATAACCGCCTAGCTAGAGCACTTCCTACAGATAATAAGAAGTTAATAAGTAATGCCAGTGGTCCTTTTGATTCCAGGCTGGCATTGGTGAGTATCGTTAGGAGCATGAGTTGAAGGAGATGGTAAAGAAAGTTCAGGTATGGTATTTACACTGCAACTGTCATGAATTATTCCAGATTCAGTGGTATTTAAACACAATAAATATATAAATGATGATATTAGGTAGTTGTGCATAAATTCATCCCTTGGCAGCATCTTATGCTTTCATCTCCAACATTTATATTTTGTTGTTTATCTCCACAGGCAAATGACTAACAAGCTATGGAAAATGGAAGTACTTAATGGAAGATGGGAAAGAGAAAGGAAAAAAATTGCTAGAAAATTGCATAGAAGAAGCAAGAGCTTTCTGCCTTTAATGATTTTAAAAGGAACTTTCAAACACTGCTTTCTTGCCTTTGTACTATCATACATTAAATGTATAGCATTTGAGTGTGTCTTTATCTTTCTTTTGGACGTTTTAATAACTACTCTGGTTTCTTTTGAATTGGGGAGAAAAACATAATTTAGTATCACAAAGAAGTACCATATACTTTATATCATTTCCCCCCTAATCTTAATTTGTTGTTTGAGTTTGATTAATTTCTAGGAAATAAATATACTAAATAAAAACTCAAAACCATATATTGACTGATACAAGGATCACGTCTTAATATGAAGTAATCAGGTAGGATAGGGATCTTGGGGATTAGGTGGTTAGTTAATAACATGATCAGTTCTGATGCAACTGCATTTGGAATACAGGTGATAGTTCTATCAAACATTCTCCAAAAGTTTATCAAAGAGCAAAAAGCTGCAAAGAAGTGTAATCAAGATAGTTCCTCTATTATGAAAACCTTTCCTTTAAAAAATAGAGTGGGGTTTGAATGGAGGCCTTGGAATGGGAAGAAGTGGAGGCAGAAG